GGAAATTAAACGATGAAAAGACTAAACATTTTCCAAATTATTTTACTTTTTCTCCAATTTATTTCCATCGTCTCCTACCATTTTCAAATTATGCCATTTCCTTAAAGTGAACAATTTTTGTTGTCATACGTGAAGCGCAAAACTCTTACAACAAAACTGTATAAAATACTGCAGAACGTAGTCTTGCGAGAAAAAGAAAAACAGAATCGTAGGAAATTCGTTGAGACGAGTTTCACGGGGTAAATAGTGCAGAAAGATTATAAAAGAGACAAACGTATGTAAATGTATAGGAAGAGTGTTTAAACAAGAGAACGAGGAAGGAAGGAGAATAAAAAAGAAGGAATGGAAAAAGGTTTTATTCGCATTTACCACTCTGTGTGGAAATCGTTGATGAAAATTTTATAAGATAAACAAAGAAAGAGAAAGTGACGGAGGATATAACGAGGAAAAAAAAAGAACGAAGAACAATTTTTTTTACATTTATCTACGATTTTAATGCTGGGAATGCTGGGAATCGTTGACGATGGTTTCGCAAGATATAAATTCTGTCGCTATCTGTGAACGGTCCGCCACGTCTAAGGCTATCGCACGATTTACGCTTTCGCACGTCTACTGCACATAAATATACGTGTAATATACGTAATAAAGCAAACTGTATGCGTCAGATTTATTGTTATCTAACTGTTTTAGCATTCTATCCATTGCGCGATGCATTTTTTATCGTGAAAAGTTTTTATCGTGAAATACACATGTAACAAAAATCCGTTACACTGCTTAGTTTTACACGTCCATTCTCTTATCCGATATAATACGCCCGTTATCTGCTTGCACTTCATTTTCCTCCAAATTACGTCGTTCTTGTAATTGGCAAAAAAAAAAAATAATCGAAAATTGTCAGGTATACAAAACTAAAATTGTTAGCGAATAAATCAGTCACGCGATTAAATTCAGGTATTATTATATCAAATTTCTACGTTAATTAAAAGATTCAGTGCTATCGTATATTCGCTTTCACGGCTGTTCTGTTACATTCACGCTACGGTAAATATACCACTAAATAATTATCTCGTATAAATTGGTTTGTGTAATTTTATCGAATCGATTTACACGAAAACGCATCAAGTTACAAAATGGTAAAATTAACCTTTCAAACTTCGCGGCCACTTAATTCCTTTAAACAACAGCTAACGTTGGAATTAATTTTACGGTACGTTATTTTCTTTCTTTATATCTCGATGCTATCACCTGTTCCGCAGTTGCAACGATCGAACTCAACCGTAGTAAAAGCATGTTCTTCGAATTGCTGCGCGATACATTCTCTTCGAGAAATTACGTTTTTACTATGTAACAATGAGAATCGAGAAAAAAGGAATCGTTGTAAAAGAAGAAAGAACCATTTTCGTAATAGACGGTCGATCTCGAATACTTTGTTATTAATTTAAGTGCCAAGCATCAGAAATCATTGGTAGCGTAGTCTTATTCTGTTTCCTATATAATAATCGTCCTTCGAGCATCGTGCATTGATTTGATTTCAATTATAGATAGATAGTTTGAACTGTCCAGTTTGCAAATCGATGAGAACAAGTTGCAGGTGGAAACCTTGTTTATCTAACAATATTTCTTCGATTGCATCAACTATAATTCAGTCAACACAGCAGTGAAATAAATTTTGCTGTTATGGGAACTTTTATGTCTTCTATGGGATGTAGAGATTAATTTATAATTTTAAATTTAATTCATTTCATATAATTAAACGTATCCTCTACGAGAATGCGAAATTACTTGCTGTTAAATTAAACACTGTGCAACGACGCACCGCTTATGGCTATCATAGTTAATAGGATGATGAATTTCATTAACTCCATCGCAAGATTGATATATAATTGGTCGATCTATCTTAAACAGATTTTCTAACTTTTCTATTTTATTTCTTAATATCACAGCTCAGTTGCTTCTTCTTAATTGTTACTTATTTTTTTATTTCTATTAATCTATCACTAACTCTGCTAACGCTACATTGTGTCTTTTCGCTAAAGAGATTCATCTTTTCCGCGAAACTAATAATAAATAATTAAAATATAATTAGAATTCAGATAGAAACGCATGTTCAGAAATATAATTGGAATTTCATTAAACTTGTAACGTTTCCGTGGAAATGAATGAAACAAATTTTAATTAATATCTCTCTCGTGACTGTGACAATCTTCTCTCACGATATTCACAACAAGCTTTTTTCCAAGTTTAACATTCCTTATTTTTTAAAGCTTCTTCGACATTCTGTAATTTGCACATTTCATTCTAATCAAATGAACATGTAAATTGCCTTACGTTCGTAAATAATGTTCTTCGCTATTTTGCTAATTTGCTCTTCGTGTCATTAATGGAACACGCCATTAAATTGAGAGATACATACGTATAGCATAAGGTGTACAAATGTACCGCCGCAAGTCATTCAACAACGTTGAATGAATAATAAATCATCCAGGCATTTTAAATCACCTCGGATTTACTTACTCAAAATGTTAATTTTTCTTCTGTGAAACGTTTCCAAGTAGAAGATAGAATTATTAAGATAATCAAATAAAGAAATTAGCAATTATATGCAATAGCAATTAGCAATTATATGCAATGTAGAAATAGCAATTATTATGCAGTTATTATTATTAATATCAATAATTAAATAGCAACTGTAATATCTGTGTTTGGTATATTACGATCTTCTTTCCGCAAAATTCTTAACTTCGTCTTAACAGGGCATCGTATAATTAACGTAAAATATTAAGATGAGCGATAAATGGAGAGGATCCGTGACGAATTTTACGCAAATTATCTTCCCACGCAAATTCACGTCACTGAGAATACGGACACTCACCTCACTAAAGAAATAAAATAATCAAATTCGAAGATGGTATCCCACTGGGAGTAGCCATCCACATGTTATTTAACAATTAAGTTAGAACAATTTACCAAATGTCCAGCTGGACAAATTGTAAAGTACAAATTAAATAATAAAAAAAAAACTAAGAATACGAAGTTGCATTCTCTACTTCTTCGTTCGACCGAATATCACGAAATATATCAAGCAGAAATTACATAGTTTCAGAGCGAAGAACGCAAAGTAAAGGAAATATCATCGTTTCGGACGTGCTTTAATGAAAAATGTTAATTTAAATGTTTGAGAAAGGGACCTTAAAGCAAAACGTGAATTCTTGATACATCCGACAGTAATACGTTTTCATGTCAGAAGTAGCTTTTCGAAAGCTTTACGAGTTCCTTGCTCTCTGCAAAGATTTTCTCTTCGCACATCCTTTGCTGTCCTTTGTGCAACTGATGCACGTCGGCGTGTTCCTTGCGGTTAAAAACGTGACTTTTATACAATATATATCGTACATATACAGGAGAGCTTTTCAAGTTTTTTTTAGAGGGAATTTCGAGATAAAACGCGAAGAAATAAACAGAATGCACATGGACATGTTTTTATAACGCAACCGGTGCAAGTTTCGCACCAATTTATATTCTATTTATTCTTTTCTATTCTATTTATTTACGTTCTTTACATTCTATTTATTTTTCACGATTTAACGTTCGCAGATTTTTTGACGTTACAGCTACCAAAGTAATCACGCTGTGCGATGGAGAAGCTTTCTAAAAACGGATCTCTTCAGACAGAACGAAACCTTCTGCGCAAAAAGCTCGATTCATTATCTTTCATAAAAGAGTTACATAGAGTTACAACGATGCATTTTTTTTTTGGAGATTTTAGTGACGTTTTATGAAATACATACATCCGTATGGAATATGTATATTTATAAAAATTATATACTTTTGCGCGTTACACACGTTTTTGCCTTTCAATTTAATTTCTTTGCTACGAGTTGCGTAGCTTTTCATCGATAGTTCGAGTATATTATCGTATTTTCTCTCGTTTTATAAATAATTTTGATAAGATTTAATAAAAAAACTGCCGATACACGTTGTGAAATATCTACGATGTGACAGATTATCCGATTAGATTGCGGAAATGATCGTCGAGTTAAAAATCCAAATGCGAAGCTTTAGACGTGCAAATATTAAAAAGGATATTTTTCCCCCTGCGCCTTATCCACTGAACGCAAATTTTTTCGTTCATTTTCTAAAGAGTTAGAGAGGATAAGAGAGTTCCCTTTGTATATTATAACGACTTTCTTTTTTTCATTTTAATGCTTCGCGAGGGAAATAAAATTCGTGCCAGACTTAATTAAATCGATCCAACGAAATTGTCTCGTGAATATCGAAAGAACTAACCATCGGTGTTCCTTTACAACGGCGTATTCGATTTTTAATTTTCGTTTGTCGTTTGCATGTGCGTATACGTGTGATATTTATCGTAAATGCAAACGTGATACGCGATACCATTTATAGCCATTTTTACCTTCTACTTTCGATTTGCCTTTCCGACGCGTAAAATGGAACGTTTCGAGAGAATTTCCATGTGTCGTCGTCGCTTTCTTCGGTAGGATTTTTCATACGAGTTTCTTTGAGACGTAGAATATGAAGGATCGAATATTGGCGATGTTTTCATCCAAATGAAATTCGTTCTGCAGAAATCAGAGAAGAAATTATAATATTGTATATTTCTGTTTTCTCGTATTTTGATATTTTAATGTTTTCATATTCCTACGATAGAATGTTTTAATATTCTCAAAACTTGGGTATTATGTTTCAATATTTTCGGGAAAGAATTGTCATTTCGACGTGATGGAAATTCAAGTTCTCGACGTTCTCTATTTTCCTTGGATTCTCGCCAAATATATTTCATATCTGTATGTCTTACGATATTTTTAATATACAGTTCCGCGTGCATGACGTTTATTGGAAATGTAATAAAGTTTAACGTAGCTGTCGAAATATCGACAAAAGAATCGGAATAGATTATTTAATCGAAGAATTCGAAGAATTTCAAGAATTACTCGATCGAAGAAGAAAAGTTAAATCGTGGCGTACGAATCTTTTTGTTTCAGTGCAGGCACATAAATATTGCGAGTCGAACGGTACCTGGTTTCGACATCCAGTATCTGACCAAGTGTGGAGCAACTACACGACATGCGTCAACCTGCAAGATCTCAGTGTAAGTGAAGCAACAAAAATGTTTATCTTATACGTTACATTCTACGTAATGTTATTTGGCAATGCTATGAATGTATCATTATAAAAATGCATAGAGAGAATAACAATGGAGGGGAAAAATTCACAACTATGCACGAAAAGGAGAACTAAAGAGAAAGATTAAAGGAAATCGGTAGAAATACGAAAAAAGGGTAATTAAATATATATAATACTAAGAAACATATATAAAATTGAAATTTATTCAAATTAGATTTGTTCGTTGATTTATTAATATAATTTTCTTAATATTACTAAGAGCTGAAAGAATAAATATAGTCTTTTACCATTAAAGAAAAAAAAGTAGGAAAAGCAGTCATAGTAATTAAATATATATAATACTAAGGAACATATATAAAATTGAAATTTATTTAAATTAATTTGTTCCTTGATTTATTGATATAATTTTCTTAATATTAGTAACAGCCGAAAGAATAAATATAGTGTTTTAACATTAAAGAAAAAAAAGTAGAAAATATCAGAGTATGTAATCGGACCTTAACAATTTTATAGATAATTTCCTACGCAAAAGGAAATTAAATATCGGAACGTGTTGATAAAATGGCACGACGATACTGTTATAAATAATATCAAGGTGCAATCATGAATGGGAATGCTCGTCGTTTCTCGAGCGACACGCGTTGAACGACAGCCTCGAGGGTAGAGGATTATTCTCCTGATAGCGGTGTGATTTAAACGAGGGAATAAGATCGGGGATCAAAGGGGATGACGACGAAAAGGGAAACGTGCTAGCTTGACAGTCGCAGTAATAAAGGAAAAACGCATCACAGGACGAGCGATCGTGGTACTCGCATCGAATAGAAGCTGCCACTATAGGACGAAAGTGGGAAATAAGTGCACGAAGATAGCAAAATGATACTAACAGAACACGGTGGACCAGAGAAGATTCCTTTCGTTCCATTTTTCCTCCTACTTTAATTTTTCGTTGAAATGAAAAGGAAGAAAAAAATTAATTCTTACGCAAATTAGTTTTGTGTTGGGAGAAAATCATCGAGACACTGATCCGACATTAACATAATTTCGATTTTAGACATTGACATAAGGCAGCTGTGATGGAAAAATTCCAAAACACTGAGACTCGAAGATGCAACGGTGGACCGCTTATTTGGTCAATCGTGAAATTGTTAATCATAAACAACAACGTATTTCTTCGACGTATAAACCAATAACAAAACAACTGTGAATTTCATGGAACAGAATATTCCAATGAAAATGTCTTCCTTGTAAAGTACGCGAAGACCATTAAGCGACCACATACAAGAAACGATCTTCGTCTCAATCGAACATGTCCTGCACTTTCTTCTACCTTTAACCTGAAACCACTCGAGGTTGGCAATAAAGAACTTGTAGCGGCACATGAGTCAGAGGACAATTCAAATCATGTTGTCGTTTTGCCTCGGAGTATCAAGATCTTTAGGATCTTAAGATCTTTAGGATGTAATGTAAGAATAAATAAACTCCGAGCAAAACAATGTCGCCGCTACGTGCAACCGTCGAACAAAGACGAACTTGAATTTTCCGACTCTCCCCGGACCGGTATAAATCAGCGGATGCGATCGCAAGGAAATGGGTTACAGTCAGTTGTCGATCAGTTATCAACCAGTTATCAACGAAGTATCAGCGATCTAATTAACGAGTCATTAGCGATCCTATTTTACGACTTATACACTGTCTTAGCGAATCGGTTAATGCGAGCGTTTTTGCGAACATTATCTGTATACTAATTTATCATTTTAAATATATCCGACGGTTTCAACAACGAGCAATCTCGTCCATTAAACTTCATCGACCAACCATCCTCTACGCATAAACCTCTACAAACTTAATAGGTGTGGATTAAAAAAAAAGGCCCTCTCTTCCTTCTTCCTTCTTTCACTACGCTTTTACCTTTCTCCGTTCAGCTACTCCTTTCAGCAGGAATTTTAATATCCGATACAAATCGCGGAATTTACGATCGAACGTGACGATGTAGTATCGGACGGTGGAAATTATGTCCGCGGCGAAAATAAAACAAACGGTACCGTTTTGTTCGAGATATTACGTTGAATAGGAGCTTTTGTTGCTCGGTTATTTGCAACCTTCCCGATTCTTTCATGGAGCAATGCAACTTTTGACTTTGCCCCCCGGTTACTGCTTCTTCCATCGAACGTTGAATTTACCTTCTCATATTTTCCATATTTATGGTCAACTATCCATTGTTCATATATCGAGATATCTACGTATTTATGGGTAGACGTATTTCGTATTTATCGCAAGTATTTTTTTAAATGTCCCTCCTGCCAGACCACGAAAGAATAAAACGTAATAGCATTTTTTATAAATATTGCTACGTTCATAAATATTACTAGTTAGAAAATGTACGATGTCTCGAGTGTTAATAATAATCTGTCTGTTTGTGGGTACCTTTTTACCTTTTAACGCGTTGTTTCATTTTTGCTCAAAGAATTTTTAACTTCATTTTTGCTCTATCGTATTTTTGCTCGATCGTCGCATGAATCCGTTTATTTACAGTCGTATAGTAGCGTGTGATCCAGCGTGACTATGGACAGGCATTCGACGGGAAAAAATGCTGGGTCTTTAAATATTTTAATGCGAATAGGCAATCTTTTTTTATGGCAACTTGAAATCTGGATACTGTTACTTGTTTTCTTCTCGACAATTTATTACTACGTAATCCTCTCTCTTTCTACAAACTACAGGGTAAATAATCGTTGTTAATAACCGAGCATTATAGGGTATTAAAAGTTAACGACGACACTTTATCTATAGGCTTTATTATATATCTAGCGCGCAACAGCATTGTTTAGTTCATAAGATTTGCAAACTTTCCAAGAAAGTGTACACGTATATCGTAGACCAACAGATTTTATCGTAGACAGACGATATTCCCTTCTTTACGGAAGATAAAAACGATACTGATCTCGATCTTATAGCATCGTATTCGTCGACCAATAAAGCTCGAAAATCCCGAGTACATAGCTCGTAATACGCGCTTTGCAAAGAAACCTTCGTCTACAACATTAAAAGGAACGAATTAAAAAGAAACTAAAAGCATTCCGAGAACTCCCTTGAGACAGACTAGGGTAACTTTTATTTGAAAAAAAAAGAAGATGGGAAATAACAATTGGAGATAATAAATTATCTTCGTATCTTATTTCGAAAATAGATGCAATCGACAGTGCTGAAACAATAGGATTAGAAACTGTTTGAGGAATCATTTTAGGAAGCATTTGTTCAAATACAAAATAAGAGGTTCTTTAATAACTAAACGATAAGATAATTCAACGAGGACTCAATTTGATCAAAATAAATTTTCAAATCTTCAAATTTCAAAACCATGTACTAGCTAATAGTCTTGGAAACATCTTAAGCAACATCAAAGGCTACTTTAAAATCTCAAAGCAGAGAAACGCAATGTATAAAACAGTCGGTAACTGGATGAACAAGAAGAAAGAAGAAGAAGAAGAAAGCACTCCTTTGAAAATCGAAATTTTAATAGCAAAATATCTCAGGGATCTGTAATACCGCCAAGTACACTCGCATGAAACGACCGAGGTGAAGTGTCTTTATAAAGATTATCGTTGTTGCCAGAGACAGGAATCTCGATACCAAAGAAAGCGAAGGGAAACGCGATATAACGAGGAAGATCTCGTTTCTCCGTGCAAGAAACTGCCCAAGAAATGGATAAGACGAATTAAGGTATAGGTAACTGAGAATCTTCTTCTGCTTCTTGGTTAGAGCAACGATATGTTCCTCGTTTTATGCGAGAAACACGAAAGACGAGAGTCTCGTGGTTCCCTCGACGACGAATGAAACATGTGCCGAAGCAATAAGACGAGACGTCCTTATAAACGAATGTCCACGAGGATCGTGTTGACGTTTTAACCAGTTATCCTGTTTCATCCTGTTTTAATGGTTTTCGTTGGATCCGGGGATTCTCGTGAGATTCGTGGAAACATCGAGTCTTCCGCTCGTGGATCTTGTCATTAATTTTTGTTGTCAAACATGCGAGAAGACGATGCTGTTAGAGAGGCTTTTGAAGCTTTCAAAAAATCGCTATTTACGATTTATCGAACGGATGAATACGGGAAGACCAGACTGGAAGGTGTGACGAACGTGTAACATTTCTGTTAAACTTTCAACTTCCATGTCGCTCGGTGCATCTTAACGTGAAATTTTACTCGTTACATCGGAATATTCTACATCTTGAAAGATTGTCGTTACACGGTCAATTTACAATACGTAGAAGCACATTTTACCTTTGGAAAATGTACATAAGAATATTCTATTGTACTTTGCAATGAATCGTAATGAAATAGCGGAACGTAGCTGACTAAATAGACGAAAGTTGAGAATTGACCGCGTAAAATGTCATGTTACAGCGCTGAAAGGATTACGGACGTTCGCGTTAATTTATAAAGAATCATTAAGAATAAATAATTAGAACGCTGTTTTATTGATTTTCTTTCCTCGAACGATTCCATTGACATTCTATTAAACGATCTTCGGCAGGTCCTCTAAATGGATGTTCCTTTCACTGTGAGTTTGAAAAATGTCACAAACAAATTGGGAAGTCGATAGAAACAGAAGGCAGAGAAGCCTATGGGGAAATTTCGAAACTCGCGACGAACTGTCCGAGCGAAGAGTAGTATGACCGGTCGCACTTAATAGCAAGATCAATTCAATTTCAGCAGGACTAAAGGCCAATAAATGTAATTAGACGACGCGAAAGTTGTCGTTCAACGCACAACCAACTGTTCAACTGCAGCAACTGCGATGTAACTTATGGTCCACATTGATCACGTTGTCTACATAGAAATAAAGAGGGAGAGAGAGAGAGAGAATAAACATGTCACATTCAAAAGTAATTGATCGTGCAATCGGATTATTTTCTGCTTTATGCTATACGTGTAGCGTTCATTGGATCGTCAAGATCATTCCTTGCCGCAAATTACGCGATGCGTTGCATCACGTTCAACGTATTTCGGATGAAAAGTATGCGTCTACAATTGTCCGTCTTTCTATTTTAATCCCTTATTGAAAATATTTCGGGAATTTAAAAAAAAAAAAAATGACGGTAATTTCTATGGTTTGCATATATCAGTGAAATCAGTCTTCTCGCATCAATCTGTATCTTCTTCCCCATTTTATTAGTCAATTTATCGAGAATGATTTCGCTAATAACGACATAAATTTCGATTTCAGTGGCAGCAAGGAATTAGCGGACTTTACGAAGCTGGATACGCAATATCGTTGGTAGCGTTGCTACTGTCGTTAGGTATTCTCACATACTTCCGGTGAGTCGACGAAAGTGCTGCTTCTTTCTCTACTTTTCTCCTTCCCCTTATTGTCATACGCCTGTTACTTCCCAGCTCTTATTCTCCTCTATTATATCTTCTTTTTTCTTCTTAGTAAAATAAACATTAAAATGAACGTGTTTGAGCGGAAATTATGGAAATCGATGGTCCGTCTGTTTCGAGAGACATTCTGCAAAAGTGACACGCTTTACACCCACGACTGTTTGCACGTAAAACAAACACGGGGAATTCTGTTTTCTGGAATTTATACGTCAACTTGTTTGCATGTAAAATATAAACGAAAATGCTTCAGATTGCTATGATGGAAACATTGAACATTAATATTTGCCTTATTTTTTACTGCAATTTAATTACTCGGTTAACCATGTTTTATTATGACGATATATTGCACAGAATTTTTCAAATATATTTATTTATCTTTCGGCTTCACAGTCCGGAAAAAACACCTGGCTTACATATTTTCAGTTTTCTAACTGCCACTCATTCCATTCAACGCAACACGCGTCCATCCCATTGCAAATACATATATTGCCTCTTATATCAAATATTGCAAATTAAACATCCTGCGTACAGAGTCAATGAGAAGTGTTGTCTAAAGTAACTCGTTACCTATTGACTTTATCGTGGAACGTTTTAAACCAATTATGTCGTATGGATGCAATTTTATTCTCGAATATCTTATATTCTCTGAGGTGTACGAAGGTAACTTTGAATCTTTTTAATGGCGCCTTATAATTTTTATACCGTTAGCTGATTCATCTGGACATTCTCTACAAAGAGGTATTAACCTATCTATATCGAAAAACTAACAGTTTAGAAGATATTTTAATTCTAATCTGTGTCAAACGTAATGTATGAAAAACGAGGAAAAAAGAGACGCGAAGCGTTATTTTTCTATCTACGTTGTCTTTTTGTCTATGGCACGTTAACTTTGAACGCAATGCAATTTTTTTGCATAGAATGTCCAGCTAGGTCGGCTAACGTTGCAGAAAATATACGGTGCCATTTAAAAAATCTCAAGGTCGTCTCAATTTCTCGCAAAATGTCAAAGATGCGTATACGGGGTGGTTGATAACTGGTGGTGCAAGCGGAAAGGAGGGTGATTCTACGCGAAAAAAGAAGTCGAAAATGTAGAATAAAAATTTTTCGTTCGAGGCTTTGTTTTCGAGAAAATCGACTTTGAATTTTGGCTCGGTACGCGTGCACTTTCGTGCCCTTCCCGCGAATCACCCCCTTTCCGCTTGTACCATCAGTTACCAACCACCCTGTATATTAGAAAGTAAAATTGCATCCATCAGACGAGTCCTTTGAAACGCAATATAATTTATTTCAAGCGTTTTTTAACAAAAGCAACAGATAATTTCACAGCTACAGCAGTCTTGCAACAAGTGTTTTAAAACGCCTAACTCTAAACTATATAAAACACATTTTTTGTCTTCCTCTTCTAACTAGCAACGACATTGCTGCTTCGCATACAGAATGTTTAATAATTTCGTAGAAATATTAGTAGATGTGCTTGTCAGTAGCCTGATCTTTTTCTTTTTAATTATTCCCTATTTATGTTCGCGGTACAAAAATGTATTGGAAAATTCTCGTACGAATGTGAACTCGTTTCTTTATTTCCAAAGCGCTTTACGTAAAAGCAATTTCCAACTATAAAGAGAGCGAAAAAGGAAACAAAGAAACAAAAGCGAAGAATTAAAAGAAATGTTTCTTACCAGGGGACAAAGTTTCTTCTTCTTTATTATCCTTCCTTTGAATACAGCTCCCTGAGGTGTGCAAGGACCACCCTTCATATGAACTTGTTCGCCTCGTTCGCTGTAAATAACGCACTATGGCTGGTGTGGTATAGATGCATCGTCGCGAACACGGATTTACTATTGAACAATGAGGTACGTATGAGGCGCCCTCGTTCTCTCTTGGTTCTTTCTTTGCTTAGCACTCGACCCAGTAACTCACGCGAGAATTTCGTCTCGCGGCGTATCGTTTCAGTAATTAACGCAATTATCGTTTCGGTAAGTTCTGAATTTGCTAATCGGCCACGAAAATGGATATCTCCACCTCGGTTTTTATTTTTTGGGGGG